CTGGTTCAGTAACAGGGTTGTTGATTTGTGGAACCAATTGCCGCGTAACATTGTGGAGGTGGGGTCCCTCGATTGTTTCAAGCACGGGTTGGACAAGTATATGAGTGGGATTGGGTGGTTATAGAATAGGAGCTGCCTCGTATGGGCCAATAGGCCTTCTGCAGTTACCTTTGTTCTTATGTTCTTATGTTCTTATGTAACAAAGGACAGGAAGTACATTAAAGCACTAATTGCATAGTGCATTGTGTTACTGTTAATATAGTGCAAAAATAGACACTGTGTGGTGCATACCAACCCATCCTCCGAATATGGGGGGGGGGGGGTAAATGTAAAGGCACAAGTAAGTGTAATTATGTACTATTTCTAGCAGTCATGAACTGTACTTATTTCAACCCGTTCTGCACTTTCTTTAAGTCAATATTGACTTATTAAATAAGTGCATATGTGACATACTAATTTATTGTGAATATTTTAGTTTACCTTGAAAAGCTTCATAGAAAACACCGACCTTACCTAACCTTCTTAGTATGTTATGATAAGCATCTTATTGCTTCGTAATTACAATTATTACTTAACCAATTATAGGTATAGGTTAAGTAATAACTGTAATTAAGAAGCAATAAGATGCTTATCTTAACATACTAAGAAGGTTAGGTAAGGTCGGTGTTTCTATGAAGCTTTTCAAGGTAAACTAGTATGTTTAGTATATCACATATGCACGTATTTAATAAGTCAATATTGACTGTAAGAAAGTGCGAGAACAGGTTGACTTATTTTCACTTAATATTAAACCGTACTGTCAAATAATCGTCAGAATATTTGAGTTACATGAAAAGCTGAATAGGAAAACGACCTAACCTAACCTTCTTACTGTATAAGAACAAGCATTTGATTGCTTCTATTTACAATAGTACGTAACCTATAGCTATATTGATCTTACAGTTTTATAAAACTAATAAAACAAAACAAAAATCTTTCAATAAATTGTAAAGTAACTCAGGAAATTATAAAATTTTGTATAAAATCTTTATTGTTTAATAAAATCAGAAAAAGAATTCTTCATATTTAAAACTGAGTATATATAGAATTGAGCATGAAATCTTGGTCCTAAAATTGTGAGTAATTTAACAGAAACGAGGAAAATATATAGGGATGTAAAGGTACAGAAAAGTGTAATTATGTACTATTCTAACAGTCAGGAATTGTACTTATTACTTAGTATTAAACTGTACTGTCAATTCGGAGGATGGGTTGCAACTACATACCCCTTTGAGGACGGATTGCTGCTATCATAAGAACATAAGAACAAAGGTAACTGCAGAAGGCCTATTGGCCCATTCGAGGCAGCTCCTATTCTATAACCACCCAATCCCACTCATATACTTGTCCAATCCGCGCTTGAAACAATCGAGGGACCCCACCTCCACCACGTTACGCGGCAATTGGTTCCACAAATCAACAACCCTGTTACTGAACCAGTATTTACCCAAGTCTTTCCTAAATCTAAACTTATCCAATTTATACCCATTGTTTCGTGTTCTGTCCTGTGTTGATACTTTTAATACCCTATTAATATCCCCTTGTTATGTCCATTCACCCACTTGTAAACCTCTATCATGTCGCCCCTAACTCTTCGCCTTTCCAGTGAATGCAACTTAAGCTTTGTTAATCTTTCTTCATATGAAAGATTTCTAATTTGGGGAATTAACTTAGTCATCCTACGCTGGACACGTTCAAGTGAATTTATATCCATTCTATAATATGGCGACCAAAACTGAACTGCATTATCTAAATGGGGCCTAACTAGAGCAAGATATAGCTTGAGAACCACACCAGGTGTCTTGTTACTAACGCTGCGATTATAAATCCAAGTGTCCGATTTGCCTTATTACGAACATTTATGCATTGATCCTTTTGTTTTAAATTCTTACTAATCATAACTCCCAGATCCCTTTCGCAATCCGACTTCGCAATCACAACACCATCTAGCTCGTATCTTGTAACTCTATCATCATTACCTAACCTCAGAACTTTACATTTATCAGCATTAAACTGCATCTGCCAATCCTTTGACCATTTCAAAACCCTATCTAGATCAACTTGAAGTGATAGTGGTCCTCCTCCGAATTAATTTCCCTACCGATTTTCGTATCATCGGCAAATTTGCAAATGTTGCTACTCAAACCTGAATCTAAATCATTTATATATATTATAAACAACAGAGGTCCCAGGACAGAGCCTTGAGGCACTCCACTTACAACATTTTCCCACTCTGACTTGATTCCATTTATACTAACTCTCTGTTTCCTTTGGTATAGCCATGCCCTAATCCAGCTTAATATAGCACCCCCATACCATGAGACTCTATCTTTTTAATCAGTCTTTCATGTGGCACTGTATCAAAAGCTTTGCTAAAGTCAAGGTATACAACATCGCAATCCTTACCACTATCAACTGCCTCAACAATGCTAGAATAAAAAGATACAAATTTGTTAAACATGAACGGCCATTTATAAAACCATGTTGAGACTCAATATTAATTTATGTTTTCAAGATGAAGACGAATTTTATTTGCGGATTATAGATTCGAGTAACTTTCCCACAATAGACGTTAGGCTAATTGGTCGATAGTTAGACGCAAGTGATCTATCTCCTTTCTTAAAACTGGTATCACATTAGCAAACTTTCCAAAACTCTGGCACTCTGCCTGACTCTATTGATTTATTAAATATGGTTGACAGTGGGTCACAAAGCTCCTCTTTGCATTCTTTAAGCACCCTGGCAAACACTTCATCCGGCCCTGGGGATTGTTTGGTTTGAGTTTTACTATTTGTTTAAGAACATCCTCCCTGGTAACTGCTAAACTCGTCAACCTGTCCTCGTCCCCACCCACATAGACTTGTTCAGCTGAAGGCATATTGTTAAGTTCCTCTTTAGTAAATACAGATACAAAATATTTATTAAAAATACTACTCATCTCTTCATCACTATCTGTTATTTGACCTGTATCAGTTTTTAATGGACCTATCCTTTCCCTAGTCTTAGTACGATATAACTGAAAAAACCCTTTAGGATTTGTCTTTGCTTGCCCTGCTATGCGAATCCTATCATAATAGGATTGACATAAAATAATCAACATATTTGCTGCTATCATAATAGGATTGACAGAAAATAATCAACATATTTCGCTGCTATCGTCCAATGAGAGTAGAGCTTTGTAGATAACATAATACAGACAAAGGATATCACAAGAAAGAGAGCAACAACCACACTTAAACCTTAGTAGGCCAATTATAGCACATATATAAATATACTAAGATATCATATATTATACCTAACTCTGTTTATTTACACCTAGGGCAGGTTAAGTTAGTTCCACTTTTTAGTATTTGGAGTATTCCAATAGCACAAAAGTGAACATTTGTGGGGGGGGGGGGGGGAGTTCAACAGTACTTTTTTAATACGTTTAACCAACAGTTGGCATAAGTACTACCATGTTGGGTGATGGTTGAAGTCTCAATGTGTCTGTACTTTCTAAAGAGTTTTATATATATTAAGGTTTGAGTTAACATGTTGTATTAGTGATTATCTTCACCTTGAGCGTTGGGTAATTAGTCTTCTTCTTCTTCTTCTTGTTGATAGTAGGTGCAGTTTGCATGAAGGGTTTGTCCTCCGATGACTGCACCAGTACTGATGTTGTTGGACGCGTTTATGTTGAAGATGATCGGAGCTACCAAGGTGCTTGTTGCTTTGTGCTGTAGATAGAGGAACGGTGATTAGAACAGAGGTGTGTGTTAGAGGGAGACTTGCCGCACCGTAGGACGGTGTGTTGTGTTTATGGCGTCAGCTGATCCTTGGTGTTGCGACGAGGCAGTTGTTTTCTGTGTTTAGCTGTTGGTGGCGCCAGGTATAAATGTGGCGCGGGTCAGATGTGACCCAATTTGTTGGTCGATTGGAGATATTTAGCCAGTGCTTTGACTATTTGGTATTTTTCTTGTGACGAGTGGTCACCGCCTCCTAATATATGCTCGATGGTGAAGGGTATTTTAAGTGCGATAAAGACTTGTTTGAAATTTACTCTGGCACTATAATGTCGGAAGCAGTGCAGGAGATAGTGTTCGACTGTTTCAGGCACTTGACAGTGAGTACAGAGTTCGTTGATGTCTGTTCTGTACTTAGAGCTGTGTGCTGCTAGTTTGGTGTGTCCCAGCCTTAATCTGGTCATCGTTACATCAATTTCTCTGCTTTATATCGGACATGTTTCCAAGTTTCCCATTTCTTTTTAATGGACCCATAGTGCAAAGGTGAGCATAACGTTTTCCAGTTTGTTGCAAAATCCTGGGAGATGGTATCTTTGAAGGCTCCTTTACGTGCAACATGGGGCATTGGATGACGGGTGAGGTGAGGCGTGTCGTGCATCGCTTTGGCTAGTGTCTCTTGGTACACAGCCCCCAGGCTTAGGCCAGGGCCCAGCGACGGCCTAGACAGCCCCAGGCTCAGGCCATTGGCCAGCGACGGCCTAGACAGCCCCAGGCTTAGGCCAGGGCCAGCGACGGCCTAGACTGGCTCAGGCCAGGGGCCAGCGACGGCCTAGACAGCCCCAGGCTTAGGCCAGGGCCCAGCGACGGCCTAGACAGCCCCAGGCTCAGGCCATTGGCCAGCGACGGCCTAGACAGCCCCAGGCTTAGGCCAGGGGCCAGCGACGGCCTAGACTGGCTCAGGCCAGGGGCCAGCGACGGCCTAGACAGCCCCAGGCTTAGGCCAGGGGCCAGCGACGGCCTAGACAGCCCCAGGCTTAGGCCAGGGCCCAGCGACGGCCTAGACAGCCCCAGGCTCAGGCCATTGGCCAGCGACGGCCTAGACAGCCCCAGGCTTAGGCCAGGGGCCAGCGACGGCCTAGACTGGCTCAGGCCAGGGGCCAGCGACGGCCTAGACAGCCCCAGGCTTAGGCCAGGGCCCAGCGACGGCCTAGACAGCCCCAGGCTCAGGCCATTGGCCAGCGACGGCCTAGACAGCCCAGGCTTAGGCCAGGGGCCAGCGACGGCCTAGACTGGCTCAGGCCAGGGGCCAGCGACGGCCTAGACAGCCCCAGGCTTAGGCCAGGGGCCAGCGACGGCCTAGACAGCCCCAGGCTTAGGCCAGGGGCCAGCGACGGCCTAGACAGCCCCAGGATTAGGCCAGGGGCCAGCGACGGCCTAGACTGGCTCAGGCCAGGGGCCAGCGACGGCCTAGACAGGCCAAGGCTTAGGCCAGGGGCCAGCGACGGCCTAGACAGGCCCAGGCTTAGGCCAGGGGCCAGCGACGGCATAGACAGCCCCAGGCTTAGGCCAGGCGCCAGCGACGGCCTAGACAGCCCCAGGCTTAGGCCAGGGCCCAGCGACGGCCTAGACAGCCCCAGGCTCAGGCCATTGGCCAGCGACGGCCTAGACAGCCCCAGGCTTAGGCCAGGGGCCAGCGACGGCCTAGACTGGCTCAGGCCAGGGGCCAGCGACGGCCTAGACAGCCCCAGGCTTAGGCCAGGGGCCAGCGACGGCCTAGACAGCCCCAGGCTTAGGCCAGGGGCCAGCGACGGCCTAGACAGCCCCAGGCTTAGGCCAGGCGCCAGCGACGGCCTAGACAGCCCCAGGCTTAGGCCAGGTGCCAGCGACGGCCTAGACAGCCCCAAGCTCAGGCCAGGGGCCAGCGACGGCCTAGCCAACCCCAAGCCAGGGGCCAGCGACGGCCTAGCCAACCCCAAACCAGGGGCCAGGAATGTGGATAATGGCGACTTTCCAGGAAAAAGTTTTAAAGTCAAAGGTAAAGAGAGATTTTAAGCCTTAAAGTCTCGATGTAAACAGATTTTCGGGCTAGTCTGGTGACGTAGACCTGGTGACGTAGGCCTGGTGACGTAGTCCTGGAGACGTAGCCTAGTGACGTAGCCTGGTGGGCCTGCGGGCAGCTACAAGCAACAGCCTGTTGGACCAAGTTATCACAAGTTGAGCCTGGCCTCAAGGCCGGCCTCGGGGAAGTAGAAGAACTCCCAAGACCCTCTACAGGTAAACTCCAGGTTAACGACGTGTGTGTGTGTGTGTGGGGGAGTACACACAAGCAGATATAACAGACTATTGTGATTGGAATATGGTAGACACTCCCCCCCGTTACACCAAGCCACTGTACACACTAACTTCAGGGAACTACTCACACTAACGACCATTCACATCTTACTCCGAACAATTCCCATCTGCCAGTAAGCCAATCCACTCCCAAGCCTCTCTGTACCTGCCTGCAATACCGTTGGATAACGGAACTATATCAACAGAGCCGGGCCGCCCGTTAACAGGCGCTGGGGGCTTGCTAAATGTTCAATTATTGGGGAGAGAGTAGGTTCCTAGCTGCTGTGTCCTAGCTCCTAGCTATCTGGGAGGGGCGCACCCCCGTCCTGGGATGGGACTATGGGTTATCTTGAGGTTATCTTGAGATGATTTCGTTTTTTTTTAGTGTCCCCGCGGCCCGGTCCTCGACCAGGCCTCCACCCCCAGGAAGCAGCCCGTGACAGCTGACTAACACCCAGGTACCTATTTTACTGCTAGGTAACAGGTAAGAGCAAGAGTAAGCGCAAGAGCAGGGTAAGAGGGTAAGAGTAAGAGCAGGGTAAGAGCATTGGGAGAGATGAGAGGAGTAAATGGAAGGGTAGTGGAAAAGGAGAGAGAGAGAGAGAGAGGGGAATGGAAGGGGAACAGTGGTGAGAAGTATATAAGAATGAGTGAGAGACTGCTGGAGTGGAGTGGTGAGACATACTGAGAGATCCGCAGCCTTCAGAAGCACATTGTACAACCCGTTCTCACACTTTCGTATAGTCAATATTGACTTATTAAATAAGTGCATATGTGACATGCTAATTTATTGTGAATATTTTAGTTTACCTCGAAAAGTTTCATAGAAAACACCGACCTTACCTAACCTTCTTAGTATGTTAAGATAAGCATCTTATTGCTCCGTAATTATAATTATTACTTAACCTATACCTATAATTGGTTAAGTAAGAATTGTAATTACGAAGCAATAAGATGCTTATCTTATCATACTAAGAAGGTTAGGTAAGGTCGGTGTTTTCAATGAAGCTTTTCAAGGTAAACTAAAATATTCACAATAAATTAGTATGTCACATATGCACTTACTTAATAAATCGATATTGACTTAAAGAAAGTGCGAGAACGGGTTGTACCACGGGGAAACATTTGAAAGGGATTTGTAGTTTGAGAAACAAACTGCACTTTCTAGACCAGTCGAATTAGATATTACAGTAACGTGGATCTGTGTTTCATTAGGCAGTTTGGGAAAGCTTGACCCATGGGGAGCCGGTCGGCCGAGCGGACAGCACACTGGACTTGTGATCCTGTGGTCCCGGGTTCGATCCCAGGCGCCGGCGAGAAACAATGGGCAGAGTTTCTTTCACCCTATGCCCCTCTGTTACCTAGCAGTAAAATAGGTACCTGGGTGTTAGTCAGCTGTCACGAGCTGCTTCTTGGGGGTGGAGGCCTGGTCGAGGACCGGGCCGCGGGGACGCTAAAGCCCCGAAATCATCTCAAGATAACCTCAAGATAACCTGTTACCTAGCAGTAAAATAGGTACCTGGGTGTTAGTCAGCTGTCACGGGCTGCTTCTTGGGGGTGGAGGCCTGGTCGAGGACCGGGCCGCGGGGACACTAAAGCCCCGAAATCATCTGAAGATAACCTCAAGATAACGTATGCGTTGTTGCACAGTTAAATAGAAGCGAGAATTGACTGTCATCCTTTCGACTGCCAGAAGACGCCAGGAAATCGTCTCTAGGAAGGTTCAGAACAGTTAAGTTAATCAGAATTATGTACCAGTGAATAGGCTTAAAATTGATGCCTAATATTATAGTTGGAGTGTGATCATTCCGTCACGTGGTTCACCTAACAGCTCAAAATGCATAATTATTTCTGTGAATTATGAGTTCTTAATTAATAATGTGTATTTTAATGTATTATTTTAAGAAGAGGAAGGGGAAATATCAGGGGAAAGCGCCAAGCCATTACGACTATATAGCACTGGGAAGGGGCCAGGATAAGGATTTGGGATTGGACGGGGGGAAAGGAATAGTGCCCAACCACTTGTGTGGACTGTCTCGGGGGATTGAACGCCGACCTGCATGAAGCGAGACCGTCGCTCTACCGTCCAGCCCAAGTGCTTCTGTAAGAAGAGGAGGTGCCCAAGAGACAGTCCTGGTTATGTCGAATGTAACGAGACGATACAAAACTCTATGGAAAACCAAACCATCATTTCAGGCTTCAAAGAAATCTTGGTTGTCGCAATAGGATCCAGTCCTACTTCAGGTGGGGCATTGGGGTCGACCCACACATTGACAAATGACCAAGACGAGTTGAATGACAGTGATTATAGGTGTCTTGTCTTCAACTTTGCACAGGCCTGGCCGAGGACCGGGCCGCGGGGACGTTAAGCCCCGAGATTATATCTAGATAACCTCAAGATGGTGATAACCAAACAGACAGATGTCAGAAACACAAACAGACTTGATATTGCTAGATAGCCACGGGCTATCATCACGGGATAACCTCACAGTTCGTTATCAACGCTAACAAGAGTCCTTCGTTAGTCCTTCGTTAGTCCTTCGTTAGTCCTTCGTTAGTCCTTCGTTAGTCTTTCGTTAGTCTTTCGTTAGTCCTTCGTTAGTCCTTCGTTAGTCCTTCGTTAGTCCTTCATTAGTCCTTCGTTAGTCTTTCGTTAGTCCTTCGTTAGTCTTTCGTTAGTCCTTCGTTAGTCCTTCGTTAGTCCTTCGTTAGTCCTTCGTTAGTCCTTCGTTAGTCTTTCGTTAGTCCTTCGTTAGTCCTTCGTTAGTCCTTCGTTAGTCCTTCGTTAGTCCTTCGTTAGTCTTTCGTTAGTCCTTCGTTAGTCCTTCGTTTGTCCTTCGTTAGTCCTTCGTTAGTCCTTCGTTAGTCCTTCGTTAGAATGTATTAAGCAAAACTAAGGTGTTAGTATCGTGAAGGAGGAAGTGTGTTATAATCTCTCACTTGTCTCTACCACAAGGAGGAACACACACACACTAGTTTTTATTGTATGATAAACCAGTATTTTAAAAGATACTACACGAAGTAAAAATGTTGTTTTATGGTTTGTTTGTAGCGGCGTGGGAGGTTTTGGGCCTCTGGTCAAGTGCGGGAACTCGTTAGGTCATTTTGGGCCATGTTTTGTGTACGGAACATGGTCCGCGGGTCGTTTAACATCCAGGTGGGCAATTACTGCTGCGTACACAGGGGCGAACTGCGTACAATGCTGCGTACACAGGAGCGAACTGCGTACAATGCTGCGTACACAGGAGCAAACTGCGTACAATGCTGCGTATACAGGGGAGAACTGCGTACAATGCTGCGTACACAGGGGCGAACTGCGTACAATGCTGCGTACACAGGGGCGAACTGCGTACAATGCTGCGTACACAGGGAGCGAACTGCGTACAATGCTGCGTACACAGGAGCGAACTGCGTACAATGCTGCGTACACAGGAGCGAACTGCGTACAATGCTGCGTACACAGGAGCGAACTGCGTACAATGCTGCGTACACAGGGGAGAACTGCGTACAATGCTGCGTACACAGGGGCGAACTGCGTACACTGCTGCGTACACAGGGGCGAACTGCGTACAATGCTGCGTACACAGGAGCGAACTGCGTACAATGCTGCGTACACAGGGGAGAACTGCGTACAATGCTGCGTACACAGGAGCAAACTGCGTACAATGCTGCGTACACAGGGGAGAACTGCGTACAATGTTGCGTACACAGGAGCAAACTGCGTACAATGCTGCGTACACAGGGGCGAACTGCGTACAATGCTGCGTACACAGGGGAGAACTGCGTACAATGCTGCGTACACAGGAGCGTACAACTGCGTACAATGCTGCGTACACAGGGGCGAACTGCGTACAATGCTGCGTACACAGGAGCGAACTGCGTACAATGCTGCGTACACAGGAGCGAACTGCGTACAATGCTGCGTACACAGGAGCGAACTGCGTACAATGCTGCGTACACAGGAGCGAACTGCGTACAATGCTGCGTACACAGGAGCGAACTGCGTACAATGCTGCGTACACAGGAGCGAACTGCGTACAATGCTGCGTACACAGGAGCGAACTGCGTACAATGCTGCGTACTGCGTACAATGCTGCGTACACAGGCGAACTGCGTACAATGCTGCGTACAATGCTGCGTACACAGGAGGGCGAACTGCGTACGTAATGCTGCGTACACAGGGGCGAACTGCGTACATGCTGCGGGACTGCGAACTGCGTACAATGCTGCGTACACAGGAGCGAACTGCGTACAATGCTGCGTACACAAGTACAATGCTGCGGAGCGAACTGCGTACAATGCTGCGTACACAGGAGCGAACTGCGTACAATGCTGCGTACTGCACAATGCTGCGGGAGCGAACTGCGTACAATGCTGCGTATGCATGAGGGAACTGGGGAGTAGAAGAACTCCCAGAACCCCATCAACCAGGTATATGTGGGCCTGCGGGCCGCTCCAAGCAACAGCCTGGTGGACCAAACTCTCAAAAGTCAAGCCTGGCCTCCGGCCGGGCTTGGGGGAGTAGAAGAACTCCCAGAACCCCATCAAGCAGGTATATGTGGGCCTGCGGGCCGCTCCAAGCAACAGCCTGGTGGACCAAACTCTCACAAGTCAAGCCTGGCCTCGGGCTTGCAAGCCTTGGGGGAGTAGAAGAACTCCCAGAACCCCATCCAGGTACAATCCAGGTACAAATCGTTCCATAGGAAGGATGGATTGGCTGT